AAAACAGAGACGGTTTTTTTTTCTAAGTAACGTTCTTTCCCTTCGCAATTTATTTCTCTGATTCATTTATCGATTAAACGACAAAAAGTTCTTTAAAAATAATAATCATTAAATTAAATATCACACACGATTAAAATAATATAAAAGTGTCATTCATCTAAAATATATATGAATAATTAATTAATTTACAAATTATTAACAGTTTACCGTTATTCATTTATATATTTATTCGCACCATAACAAAGTTATAAAAATTAACGACTATCAATAAATTATATCATTGCGCGAGGGCAATAGCGATATTAAAAAATGATGCATGTCATCCATTTGATTATTACGACTATTTGCACGTCGTTACGCGGTCGTTAAAAAGTAATGAGCATCAATTTTATCAGGTATTATTTGAGCGCGATATTTATTTTGCCGTCATAATCGTCTCAATTAATCCTCGGAGACGGTGAATATTCGAAAAGTCGTTAACCCAATTGATCGATTCTCCGCGGTGCTCATCATCCGAATACTTTCACCAAAGAGAGCGCGAGAGTGCTTTTACTCTCTGGCGGTTTGAAATCCACGGACGAAAATTAAGCCCGTGACCTCGATACTCGAACGTCAACTTGAATATGTATGCGAATTCCATCCTGTTTACAACAACGAGTATCTGGCAAGCTCAACGACAGTGGCAACTGTGTGATCGCGAATGACACAGATATTTTCTTAACCTTTAAAAGGCTCACCTACGGCCAAGTAAATGCGTCGCACTTATATCGCGAACCAGCTTTTCCTTCTCTCTCTCTCTCTCTTTCTTTCTCTCTTTACCTGTCATATAGCAAATAATCCCACCCTGAGTTTGAAAACAAATCGTTGCGCAACGGCAAGATAAATTGTTCCCGCTTCGACATTAAATCAACGTTAAGGTGCGGCTTTCGAGAGCCAGCGAAGAATTGCCAGCCGATTCTAAGATTCTCGGAAGTGTGCGCGGGTCCAATCTTCCCCTCGATTCCGTTCCAGAATGCTCGATCGAAAAACAAATAGCGACGCTACGACAATTCAAAGTTACTTCCGCGATATTGTTATTAGATCGGCATAATGGCTTCCGAGCTAACGCCAGTTCGAAAGTTCAAAACCGGTCTCTCCGTCACGTTTAGCGATTCCACTATATGATTGAAAACAAGATTGTTACGCAACAGCGAGCGAAGTTGCCGCACAACATTGTTCATTTTCAAATCGCGAAAAGCCACCGATTCCATATTGATTTGAACGTTGAAAAGAAAGAGGATAATATATGTCTCTGAGAGACAATATATTTGACATCAGAAAATTTTAATCAGTTATGCGCAATTTTTTTTTCTGTCGAAAGAGAGACGGCAATGGCGGTTCTCGGTGATTTAAATGCCGTATAGCGATCTTGCTACTACACTCTCGAGTTAAAAGTGTTGACTTGTTGCTCGCATCGTTAAAAATAACCATTTGCACAGGAACATTAGAAGTACATTAGAGAGATTGCAGTTTATGTAAAGCGTGCGAAGTATGTGTGGCTTGTTCCTCTGAACTTCCATAACGACTTTGCTGTGCAAAGAAGTGAATAACCGCGTCTCGAAATGCTCACTCGAGTTTCATGCTATTAAGAACGATTTATACACGAGGTGAAAAATAATGATAAAATGCTACGGGAGCTCATTCGGTTTTATTTATTTGGTGATTAATTTCAGAAATAATAATAATATCGCACGAGAAGGATGTACATAATATAATTTTAAAAAATATTTCTTAAAAAAAATAACATAAAGAAAGAGAGAGAAAAAAACACTCTTCAAAAACAATAAATCAATTTTTTTTTATATATTACACGTATATTCTTTACTGAAAATTAAACAGGTTTCTTGCCATCATTTAACTGGATATCATACACTGAGAAAAAAATAATTGTAATTATAAATTGATATAATTATAATATATTATATAATTATAGTCGATTCTTTTTCTCAGTGAACTTGTTAACGATTTTAAAGCATTTAAATATCAACTGTGTCTCAAATAAATTTGATTAAAGTCACTTCAAAATCAATCGATACGATTGATACAATTTATTGGCCGATTTGCAAAAATTTGTATCTTTTATGAATCGATTCTTTTTTAGCTACTCACATTTTAATATTTATATTCAACTTCACACACATCACCTATTATCTGCCTACGAATTATTGCAATCTTTAGCATGTATCTTTTTTCCTTTGTCTGATTGTCAAGATATGTCTAATCCCGATTTCGAAGAGCGCGTTGCGCCATCGAATGCGAACGAAAATACTCGATCGAACGATGAACGATCGACGACCTCGTTAGTCCACGACACTTTGCACCTGCAAATGCAACAGTCACGCACGTGCGACATCGCAGACGCCGATGAAATGTTCACCCCGGATACTGACTAGACGCTAATGACATTGGATTTAAATCAGACGTATGCATATTAATTGTACTCCAAGTCCACCTTTCAGTCGCGTAATCTCCACCGACTCTCGAATATCTAAATCACCCGATAAATAAATCACCCAATCCGCTGTTTAAGTAGATAAGCAGCGGACACACAACTGCCTTTAATCACGCGATTGTCTACCTGCATTACTCACGAAGAAAGCCACAGTGTTTACACAATCGAGGAGTAGATAATCGCTTTTGTTTACGTTACCTTGTACACAAGGACTATTAATTTCGACGACTACTTATCAAATCTCATTCCGTATTTTAATCCGCGCCTCGCGTGTGAGAACGTTACGCGAAGTGAAAGAAATACGGCGTCTCATTTACGGGAGATCGCTCCGCCGATTCATTACACTCATGTAAATGTAACAGAATTGTACGAATCATTACTTCCCTTTATACGCAGATCCCGCAAGCCCGCGATGAGATGCGATCTAATGACGTCGCGTTAACGTGCTTCCTATGCGCGATGCAAAAATCGCACCGCGTTCAACTATACGCCCGGAACTATACACAGCTACAATTTGAATCGCTACGCGGCTTCATTTGCATGTCAAAGGAGAGTACGGTCGTTTATGCTACCCGGTGCATACGAACGAAGCGGTAGCAATGATCGCACGAAGGTCGTATAACTGGAACACGCGCGAAATTACGCGCGTGTGATTCTCTCGCATCCGAAACTCGTACGCAAAGTATCCGGGTCCATTTCTCTCCCCCCGCTTCCCCCACCCCCATCCGGATATGAATTCATTCGTGCGAAAATGCGAAAATCGAACCCCCGAGGGGATGAATGCGCCCGATTTTCGACGACGAGAGGTTCGATGACCGTCGCGATTGGATAACGAGTAGTGTCGCGGTAAAATTGAAGAGAATCGTTCCTCGAGTCGAATTACGCAACGGCAACGATTACGATTGCGGTTGCGACGATTCTAATAGAACCGAGGGAATGAATAAGAGAAGGCGAGAGAGAGTCTTTTAATTGATTAATGTAAGATTTTGAACTTTTCGCGATTTTTCTTCTGGGAGAGAAGAAAAGTTTCTTTCTAAGGGAGGATATTTTCTGTATATTCTTAAAAATTCGCGGAGTTAATTTTATCATATCAATTAAGAGAGAGGCGTATGGTATTAAATTGTATTTTGTTAGCGGGCGATCTTATTTTCGTGCTTTATTACACGCGCTGTTAAAAGTCGCATAAAAAAAATAAGAATATTGAAAAAACCGATTGTTCACACAGTACTACTTAAAGCATACATGATTGCAATAAGTTGATAATGCGATATTTAAGATAATTGTTACATGCCAGTTTTTATCAGTACATATGGATTTTCTCGAAATAAATGAAGTTGTCGGAAATATGAAATAAAAAACTGATATTTCTGATATCAATTTGCAACTGTGGACATTACTTTGCATTATATTTTTTCCCGAATTTTGTTTTTACTTAAAAATTTAATGAAAACAAATTTACGAAAGATCCGTCAAAAATACATTGAAATACAAAATAAATAAGACATTGTTTGTCGGATATTTTTATAATTCTTAATACGGATTGATATTACTTTCGTATTCACATAAGTACAATTTTCTTGATAAAATCAAATTTTTATCGAGCAAAAATTTTACAAAACTTTTTTATAGATTTTTAAAAAATATAGACAATATTATAATAAATATAACAAAATGATATAAAAAATATATAATAAAATATATCAGTAAATAGCACTAATAGTAAAATAATAAATGTAATCAAATAAAAATATAATAAATATAAATAACTTTATATAAATAACTTTTTTTAAATTTTGATTTTTATAACTTTATATATCACAATAAAATTCTAAATTATATATGATGCGATTAAAAGCAATTACTATACATATGAAAGTCTTCAATGTAAAAAAAAGTAATGGAATATCAAAATTCAGTATTAATGAATCGATAACAAACTTTCATATATGGTAATATTTGAACAAATTAAAATGTATCAGTGCATAATATGAAAATTAACAAGATTAAAAATGAATTATGTCTATTTTATATTATAATTATTTAAGATATTATTAGCGACAATGTCGAATAAAAAGTGATAGAGATAAAACTGCGGAGAGATAAGTCGGAGTCGTTAAAGTTTTTTTCACATTTTCATTATTATTTGCATCGCGTTGACTCACCACTGTGTGATAATAGTCACGTAGTAGGTATGTAATTTTCCGTGCACAATTAGCAGTGTCGGTAATCTTTATATGTCTATAAAATGTTTTCGTCTATATTTAACTTTTTTAATCTATTCATTATACAATATTGTTCTTTTATTACAACTGGTTGAATCCATCGAATATTTCTCTGCAGGCTTTTTTTTGCATCTATCACTTTGCATCAATTATTATTGTATATATAAAACTAGTTTGTATCAATATTTATAGAAATAATTTTTACTTCTAGGTAAATAATGGGTTGCGTGTTTTTTCCAGACAGTTATTTCGAACGTAACGTTAATATGATGTAATAATAGACTCACCTTCTCGTCGAGATTGTTCAAGTCCGGCAGCTGAAAAAAGAACATAAATTTTATATTCTTCGATATTTGTGAGAGTTAACATATAAATGACATTGAATTTATATTTAGTCAACCATTAATCTATAACTGTAAGTAAAAAATAAGACTAACCTGCACAATGTGAGAAACATGCATATATATTATTGGAATTAATGAGGAAGTAAAAAAGAATTAATGTTTCAACCGAGCAATATATTAAATCAAACACTTAAACTTACAATTTAGACGCAATTTCATCGATGCAGCATAAATATTTAGTGTAAAATTTACGATATAACTCGATATAAACGATACCATTTAGAAAATCGCGCAAGTACTATTGCCATCAAAAAAATACAGCCGGTACGCCACCTATCTAAACATTTCGAAATGACATCCCGAGTTTACCGACAACTGCCAGTTATCGATTGCGTATAACTGACTCGCTGTAATCACCGATGAAACGCATCGTAATGTCGACAGATGCCGCCTAGAATCTCTAAAACTTCGAGATCCTCGCAAATTGAAGGAAATTGACGTCAATTTGTATCAATCAGCTGTAGCGGCTGGTTGACAGTCTCGCGGACTCTGCACACACGTGCGGGGATTAATTTAACGCCCGATGTGTCGGACCGCTTGATTAACTTTCATGGTCGTCATACGTGCTCCGAGAAAAAAGATGAATTCTATAAAAAAAATTATTTGCAAAGAAATTAAAACAATATACCAATATACCGATTATCGAGCATGCATTATAAATGCCTTCGTATTTAACAATTAATTACAATTAATTAAATTAAATTAAATTAAATTAATTATAATTAATTATGTCGATTTTATTGCTAAGTGTGTTAACTTTTGCAAAATGCTCTCTTTCAGGGAAATAAAACTTCAAAACAAATATTTGCATTAGAATAATTAAATTGTTGGAAAATATGTTCAAATTAATATTAATGATAATAATAAAAATCAAATATTATATATAATAAATATTAATAATAATATAAAATATTTAATATATATAAAAACATGTATTAAATATTTAATATTATTTATAATATTTAATAATATATAGTATAAATGATTTTTTTAATACAGCAAAATATAATAAATATAATAAAGTGTTTAATACAAAACGTAAAAAAGAAATGTTTAATATAGAAATATATAATACATATATATAAAAGAGAGAAGAAATTGTAATAAAAAAGATCTATCTTCTGACTTCTCTCTATACTAAAAAAAAAGAAAGAGAGAGACTTTATATCATTCTAAAATTTTCACTATGCAATAACTATGATTTTGAATTTAAATTTTTGAAGCGCCGATGCTGCAAGATGGATCGATCCGATCGGATTATCGGAAGGACCTGGCTATCAATTAAAGTTTTCTCGACGGTCCTTTTATGTCGCCTCCCCGTCTCTCTCTTTCTCTGTCTCTCCCTCTCCCTCTTTCTCACTGCCTTCTGCCGAACAATTTCGAAATCGCTGACCGTTCTCGGTCAGCGGAATCCGTCCTCGCTCCAGTAAATGCGTAATCGCGCATAAATCAGCGCGGAGAAGGAGCGATGCATATTTATGCGCCCGCGGCATCGCGAAATTAAATTCACACATTTCATCGGCCCTTTAAAGCATGTGCATATTTTGCGCGATGGAACGCCGAGAATGCGAGCCACGAGGAAAGCAGATCCGGAAGAGATTCGTTCTTCCCGCCAATGATCTCTTCCATTGTCACGCATACTAACTGTATTGCCTTCATTAGGACGAACGTGGGCGTCTTGCACGACAAGTATTCGTTAATATTATTCACTGCGATAGTGATTTTACATTTCTTTTTTGACGATATTATATATCTGTCCGAACGAGATTGTACGTTAATTCGCGCGAATCTGATATATGTATCAATTATATATTTTTTAAAATGATATATTTGATGTATTAAAAGTGACTTCTAATTGAATTTAAAATTTAATTTTATCCTTCATAATAAATGTCAGAATTATAGCAATTTGTAATGTATATTTATATACGCTAATATTGACATTTATTTATTTTAGCTTTACATAAATACACACACACACACACACACACACACACACACACAAAATGATGAAATATATCGATTAATTTGAAATATAATAATTTATCGACAATCTAAAATATTTATCAAAATTATTACTTGGCAATACTTTTCACTGTAGTTATGAATTACATAAAATGTAATATAAATTAGTCATTTATGGTAATCATTCAATGTTCCCCCGAAAGACAATCTCCCTCCCCAGAACAGATACGATAAAAACGGTAGAACGAAAGTAATTTTGAATATTTTATAGCTACGACATAATAACCTTCGGTCGTAAACAACTTAAAAGATTAACTTAAATTAAAAATGGTGATTAAGAAGATCCTTCTCTCCTAAATCAAGTAATAAAACAAACAGTATATTGCTAACACATAATAATGATACATATCTATCTTCGAAATTATCGAATATTTAATCAAAGGACTACCTTTTTTGATGAAAAAAATAATTATTAAATTACATGTATATAAGTGTGTGTTAAATATAATAAATAAATACGCCCGCGCAAAAAGAAAATTTGTGAAGAATGACCAGTGAATTTTCGGCCTCTAAAAATGTTTCGATGTATCGAGATTTTCGAATCATATAAAAGGCACAACCACGTATGTCTGAATAGTCAGTCGATCCAATCTTTCGAAGTTGCTTGCTTCATTCGTGAATTGAGTCATTCTGTTCGTCGCGTGACGTTACATTAAGTTATTGAAGTTACTTGTTCTACATAACATTAGTGTTGCTAATTCCGATAAATCATATATAAAGTGTGTTGCTCGTGACAAAAGTTATTTATGTTATCGAATTAAATTCAATTAGCAATATCTCAATTTTCTGCCTTCCTCACGCTCAGTCTCCCTCCTTTCATTTGCGACTAAGAATAAAATATAAACCTAATATTGATTTATTACAGAAAAGGTCCTCAAATATATTACAATTAAAGAGTTAAATTCGAAATAATTTTAAAAATTCCGATAGCATGTATTGGACATTAATTATTTCCAATAATGGAATTTGAAAAATATCAAGTTTTAAAAACATTTTCAATCATTCGTAATATATATATATATATATATATATATATATATATATATATAATATCGATATATTCTAATAAACAATATTATTTTTTAATTTGATTAGTTCACGTAATTTCATGGATGAAGAATGTATGCCCTTTCTCTGAAAAAACAATTAATTAAAGATTTGAATGAAACGAATGACGAGATAAATAAATGTCAGCGCTAACAAAAGCGCTTAATGAGAACATATAAATCGAAAAAAAATACAATTTTATAACGATACAATATCAATGTTATAACGATACAATATCAATTTTATAACGATACAATATCAATGTTATTAATGTAATAAAAGTTATGAAAACTAACAGAGCGATATACTTAATTCATAAACTCACGTATAAAGCAACTTATGAAAATAAAAGAAAACATAGAAAGAATAAAAGGTAATAATTAAATGGTAATATTATATCAAAAATGATTTAAGGCAATATATATAAATGGATATTTATGATAAAATTTGTGAAACTGATAGAGAACATCGAATTAAAAAAAAAATAATTTATGAACACACTTTATGAAAGTAAAAAATGCAGGAAAAAGTCATAGTTAAATATGGCAATATTTTATTTCTGAAAACAATAAAGTAAAATATAATATTTGTAATAACATTTATCAAATTGGACAGATATTGTCATATTTACGAAAACTTAATCTGTAAACATAAATAAGCTAGTAACAGTAAAGCAAGAAAAAATAGTTTACGGCAATATTTTACAAAAAATATAAAGCGAAGGATTGTCAAAAAAATTGCAATGGTTAAAATGTTATACATTTACAGATTTCTATTATAGTATCCGATCAAACTCGAAAATCTAAATAATGCAGAATTTGCAGATTGCTATCACAAATTGTATTAATTTTAATAAACGATTATAAAATTAATATATCAAATTTAAAACGAATTGAATTAAAAACAATAAATGGCATATTAAGAGAAAAAAAGAACATTAAGAATATGAAAATAATTTTAAAAAATATATAATACAAGTGCATTGTAATATATTATCAATATGAGTAATTATATAAAGATATTTGACTTGTTTCTGCAACATACGATAATTACTCGCGGATTACTATAAAAGCAATGCGAAAACAATGGACCTATCCTGTATGTAATTTTATTAGAAACATATACACAAATATAATACAACGTTGATTATGCATTCTCCCGGTCCATAGTATCTCATGCATAATCGTGTATATGTGCATGGTATTTACTCCGAAATCCCATATGCGCACACAATTTGTTGAACAGCATTGTCGTCCGGTTGATGACGGTACTTCGCCACGTATGTTTGCGATTTACGCGACGAATAAACTTTGATTTACTGCCGCTCTTTCGCCGAACGCAATTTCTGCCTGAACGGATCCACAATAAAAAAGAGAACGAAAAAAAATACAAAATTATTGCCGTGTCGTATCATTCGTATTATAATGAATAATCAATCGATTCGATTTGTTTCTTTACGATATAAACACATCTATATACAACATGACTTGCATAACTACTTAACACGGCTATTTATAATACCTTGAACCATTACAGTAAATTATTTGTTAACATTGGAAAAAACAATTGCAATAGATCAACCGATTTAATAATACTTTATAGCCCTAGACAAATAATTTTTTCAATCGCGATCTAGTCTAATATAAGTTTCTTGTTTTTCTATCAATGACTGGGACTTCCCTCGTAATTGACCATTAAAGATCATTTCCCTATTGTTAGAATTTAAAATTAAAAAATAAAATTTGAACGAGACACGAGGATAAAGTCGAATGATGGGATTGAGAATATCAGTGTCGTTGTATGAGTATCTTCCGTTTGTCGAAGGCCGTAAATTTACGCGTAATCTTACATGTTTGCGCGAGTTTATGTCCTTGAGAGCGAATCTTGGAATGTTCTTTGCATCTCGGGTTCTATTTTACAGACCGGAAAGATGGATGAGGACTTCGCGAGAGGTAAGTAGAAATAAATTTCGACTAAGGTCTGTGGTAAATTTTTTCTTTTGATATCTAAAGGAAGGAGCTAGTTTGCCGGTGTGCGAAAAATTCGCTTTCTCTCTTTTTTTTTCTCGTTTGTTCGCTCGCGCGAAGATATCGGCGATTCTGATGAAACGAAGGAGATTTTCTGCCGAATAAGGCTGGTAATACTAGAGGGATTCTTCTCCAAATCTCTTTAATTTGCAATAGTATTGCACTTCGTGCAATTTCACGGAAGACTGCAAACGCTCACCGAGATTTTGTATATTTAATCAACGATGTGCATGCCGGGAAATAAGAAACAGAGAAACTCACAGTATTGTAGTACTGTTATAATTTGCATGAATACATGTCTAAAAATAATTATTATGTAATTATTGTAATCCTTGATATAATAATGCATTAGGATAATGCGCGATTTGAAAAAATGCAGTAAAATTAAAAGAGCATTTTTCTCATCCGCGAGAAATAATGCAAAAAGTTCAACTTAAATCAAATTAAAAAGAATCAATTATGAGACAATTAAAGAACCATTTTCTTGAAAACCAGTTTAAAGTTTCAATTTTTATAAATTTATATAAATAATTTATATAAATAAGAGATTTACTTATCATAATAAAATAATGCAACGTATTTCAGAAGGTATATAATTAGATAGTGCGGGAAAAAATAATTGTTCGATAGAATAATTTTTAGCAATATAAAGTTCTTTTATATGATATATACAAAACATGTGAATCTAATAAACATAATATAATAATGATATTTTAAAGAAATAGAATCATGTCAATTTCTTATATTTTATATTAAATTGATTATATAAAAATCTTTACTTTGTTCAACATTATTTCACCTAGCGATTCTCACTTCAAGAACCTCATTATATAATGTCGCATTTTATCTTTCAAAAGTAGAACTCTAGTACTAAAAAATAAAAAAGAAAATAATGTTTCGAGAAAAATTGGCAATTTCATCACCTAATAAGAAATACACTATTGTATTATGCTCTGTTAATTTTATACTTTTTAATCTTCAGATAAAATTTTATATTTAATTTTAATTATAAAATCGAACAATGAACTATAGGACTGTTCAATCATAAGATTGTCAGTTCGCTTATGAACCGACAGTCATGATGTGTGAATATCCGTACTGTCATTCAATCTAAAACCTATACAGAGAATCTTAAAGTTGACGCATCATCCGTTAATGACAGATTCTGGGATAATTTGAAAATAAAAATTCTAATATCAAGATGTAATAGTTTTTAAATGGGAAACATTTGAATTTAATCGATCAAGTTTAAAATTCGTGCGATGTATCAAGTTTACGATACATCGCACAGTAGTAAAGATACTCCCATTTGAAAGTAAATATCGATTTACTTTCAAATATTGCAATATAATAACTTTTTACAACAACCGCTTAAAAGAATTATTACAACCTCGATATTTTATTATTGGAATTTTCATCTCCAAACGATTTCCGGAATCTGCCACTAGCAGATAGCGCGCTAACTTCGATACACCGTATATAACAGAGGCCATAAAGTAGCCGTAGATAAATCTATAGAAGCACAGCTGCCGCATAGGACCATTAAATCTTAACAGCTGTCGATGTAACCGTTGATTTCTGGAACGGGAGAAGATAATAAATTACTTGCATCACGATGCTACTTGTAGCAAGTGCAAGTTGAATTGAAATCAATCACGCACCGATGCTTCTGGATTTGAAGTGACTTTTATTCATCATCTTATCACCTCTTTCTTCCCCTTCTACAACATATATATGTACAAAATATTTATAAAAGTTCGTTTATGCAACATTTAGCACAAAATACAATCACACGTTGAATTTTTCATCACGATTACAAAATCGACATATGTATATCTTACACTTTTCTCTTTCTCTTATTACGCAAGTACAGAAAAATCAATCGCACATTATTCTTGTTATTGCAATATGCTTCTATCCGACCACTATATTATATATAAATATATATAACTACATTGATCACATATTAAATCAGGAATCTCTTCGACGCGTTCGAATTTTGCAAACATTGCTCGGACATAAATTCCAGAGAGTTTCCAAAGAACGCTATAAAATCGACGAGAGAGTACACAAACTTCTGGATCGCCGTATCGACCGGATACCACAAATACAAATACGTGTTATCACAATCCTATACGATATTATAGCGATAAAACTTGTTCATTTCTCCATTCCAGTCGAACAATAATAATAGCAATCGCATCTACGCAATTTGAGATGTTATTTATCGGATGACATCATCCGATCGTCGATATTCGAACGGGAGTTTTCTTGCTCTTGATTGGAATTTCGTTGCCATACGATCCAAGGATTCGCGTTACGATCATCGTCAACCGCTAGATCTCACATCTTGAACGTGATTATTGAGACCACCTGTGTGTGACAATTGGCGGACATACATCAATACTCGCAGTAATTGAAAGTCAACCTCAGGGTGTCTACGCATCTTGTAAAAAGTCCTCTGGTCCTCCAGGTATGTTTCAAAATTTCAAATAGAGAGAATATTTCCAAAGATTTTTTCATGCAAGTGTTTAAGGTAAATTTTTTACTGTATGCATTTTTCAATATTTTTTACTCATACAGAGAAAAAACAAAGCCTCTTAAGTTTCAAGAAAGTGCTAGATGCATAATATATTAAAAAAAAGAATTTTCATAAGTTAAATATTTTAATTTGAATAATATTTTCATTTTTTATCTTTAAAAATTATGTACAATAAAGAATACGTACTGTATATTCAATATTTTAGGCCTGTTCCGATATTCACTGCCAGTACTGGCGAATCGTTAAAACATTGAGCATATAATCGAAGATAGGTCTTTTAATTCATTTGGCTTGTCGATTGTTTATAAAAAGAGCAAAATGTCAGAGCAAGAAGAGCACTTCCTTTTAAAAAATTCCTCGTGAATTTTTCAATAAAATTCCATGAAGAGAATTCTCTGAGTCTTCCATCTGGTAAAAGAAATCCCTGAAAATTCCAGGTTTTCCATATTTCTCGCGGAAGTAGACACCCCGCGGCCTATAATGGATAGTCGTGCAAACCTTTCATTAAACTGGAGCGACGTTCCGCCGCGGCTATCGACAACAGGAACGTCGTGTTTAGCCCCCGATCAGGAGCCACGGCAGGAGAATGGTGACGCAAAGCGCCGCCACGCAGCTGGACAGCATCGCCAGCGGACTCGCGGCCGTTTCCGTTTCCGCGTTCTCCACCGTCCCGTAATCCTCGTCACGCTCGAACTCGCGCACCTCGACGTCGCATCGGAAGCAGACACGCGCGGTGCTGCTCTTGAAGTGAGAGCCGTCCTTGCGCAGAACTTGCGCCCCCGAGCCCTTGCGCTCCAGCTTCCAGCCTGGCTCCTGCATCAGCATCATCTTGCGTATCCCTCCTCGAGGGATTATTCCGGAGCAAGCGGGCTTCGGGAACTCCCCGCGAGATCTTCTCCCTGAATCGAAAATCGAAATCTTAGTTCGGCGAATATTTCGCGAGGGAGGATGTGTTTTCTCGCTGGGATAGGGGAAGCGGAGGAGAGGATAGTTGGCTTACTTGGTTCCCGAAGTTGCGCCGCTTTTACAAAGACGGTTATCCTCGCTAGCGTTGTCGTTGTTCCATGCAGCGTTCGTCGCAAGAATACCTTGCCGGTACCTGCAAAGGAAAGTTCGAGCATAAATCGATGAATCGCGCGCTGTAACACACGGCGGTGGTTTAATATCAGGTTCGATCGCACACGATGGCTCAAAGGACTCTACGTGACGGAAAGTTTTCACGTGACTATGGTAGGTATTGTAAGATTCCCCTGTATTCCTTGTTTTTACGATTACGTGACGGACCCCGATATTATTGGCTGTCGACTCGCAATAATTGAATTTAATTTTATATAATAGAATACGCGATATCGAGACACGATAATCTTACGAATTACACTTGTCTTTCATTCTTACGTATTAATTTACATTACTAAGTGTGCTTTGAGCATCCTGCTATTTATGCGCAGACATCATTTCCTAAATTATACCATGGTTCGTGTAGTTGCCGTAGAGTTTCTAAATCTTCGCGACGAATCGAGCGTGTCACGTTTTGCAAAACGCATGGCAGCCTCTGACAGAAACCGGTTTCGTACTTTGTCGGGTCAACGTAGCGGTGGCGATTTATCGGCTTCCTGCCGGCAGAGAAACGAGAATTAATCGAAGCAACTTCGGCAACTCCGTCGTGGCTTCCGGCGTGAGTGAGATCAGCTGTTAATACCATTCCCGAGGTCGATCGTCGCGCGCTGACAAGCCCGTATTCACGATTACCGGCGATCTCACAAGTGTAACCAAAAAATGATCAAGAGAGAGCAAAAACTTCACCGAGCCAATAACAGAGTAACAAAAATATGCCAATCGTGAAACTGCAAATAACACTCCAGCTTTTATTCCGTAGATTGGTATACGTTTCATTCCACTCGTGCAATCCTAATTAAATACTGCAATTATCCCGAAAACAATTTTGCACACGTTAAATAAGTTAAAATAATGCAAAATTTACGAAATGATAAGCATTCATTGCGATAAATTTTCTTCCATTCATGAAATATATAATAGAGATGCAAATTTACGTATGCTATATTTAAATATCTTTGTTATTCATCGAGAATCATGAACTTTTCGATATCGATGCAAATCGTAATTATTTTTACCGAAAAAACGTATCGATTAGACATTTACGTAGACATCGATTAGACATTGAAGATTAATACGAAATCCATTCTTATTTACGTCCATCTTCCGCAGACGGATCTATTTTTTTATTGCTTTACTTGCACGTCTAGCTTCAGCTAGAGACTCAATTTTCTGCAAAGTCCTGAAATAGCGCCGCACTGCAGATAATTAAACTGCAATTTGCCGTGTCGATGATTAGGGCTTGTCGAATTAAATCCGTTTGCATGCGAGAGTAAACAAGCTGGGAACGACAATGCAGCCTAATTACAAATCGGCGACGATTCACATCAACACGGATAAACGTGGAAAGCGAATGCGCGATTATTATTATTGAAGGAAACATGTTTTTTTTTGTAAGTACAAAAATATATTTTTTTAATGAACGAGTGTTTATTACTGTCGCATTTTTTCCCTTAATTGTAGAACTTTATCGTTCATATTCAACGAATAAATAAAAATGGAGATATTAATAAATTTATATCTCTTTATAAGATTTTGATAACTCGATAAGATATAAATAATAAGTTATAAGATGAAAAAGAAGATACAAGAAATATTTATCCTTTTTCTACATGTTTGAATTATATGAAAGATACACATGCTTCTGAATAAGTTGATATTTTTAATAAACAATTTCTATAAATATATATTTTATATATAAGATATGAAATCAAAATGCGTAATTATAGAAAATTACACGCAATATACAAACAGTGAAAGAAATAAATCACTCTCACGATTTGAGATATTCAAGGATCTCTTAGACTTTGCAATCAGCACTCGTTTAGAACCGTTCTATAATAATACAAACAACTTCCGTGAAGTAATGACTTATTCTATAGAAACTAAATTTTTCTTATTCACACCTTTTATAATTAATATCCATTACGTGAAGAGAGTTAAAGTAGCACTTTATATTTGGTATCAATTATTATGTATTTTATGTCAAATTAAATTGTGAATATCTCGTACTGATTTTGTGAATTTTCTGCTAGATAATACTTTACATTATTTCTTTTTTATATGTAAAATTATGTCGAGAATCGATATATCAAAATAAAATAATTTTGTTTAAAAAAAATTGATTCTTCGTTTCATTTGCAAATCTAATATCAATAATCTATATCTGTTATGTAAGCCAACACTGAAATACTAAAAAAGAAATGTTATCTTTATCGCTATATTTAACGATATCAAAGAAAAAAGTCTATAATATCTTACATGAGACATCCTTATACATATATCTCTTCTATAAATACTTTTGAAAACTTTTCACTTTTAATTATTCTAACTTTCTTGGAAATTTTTAATCAAAGTTCAAAATCCGAAAGAATTCTCAGACAGTGACATGAATATATAAGTTTTTTTCTGTCACATATTCCTAGCGTAAAGAGTCCTCCTCTCCTTCTTTTTCCCTTGGATTTTCATCCTTATTGAAGGAGATCACGATTTCTCATACTCTCACCGCAGTGAAATTATTTTCCTCTCTCTCGATCGTTTGTTCAATCACACTAGTATTCCCACTTAAAATTCCATCGATAGAATGGCAGGACCAGATACCGAACTCAATTAGTCTATCGATTAATCACTATATCACAATGAATAATCCTCTCAAAAAATTTCGAAATGTAAGTATTCAAAATTTATTTTATTAGGTATATTGAATATCATATCAACATGTAATTCTATATATTCATTACATATATTAATTATAAATTACAATATAAATTCAAAATATATTGCTTAACTTCATAAATACCGACATGTTTCAGGATAATGAGGTAGTTTATTATAATATTAATTCTCTTGTATAATTATTTCGGGAAAGTTGCGCACTACAAATATCGTTTAGCTTATCGAATAATTTCCGCGTGTAACAAAACTTTTAATTAGCTAAAATTTGTTCAACTATAATAATCTTATCCGATATCCAGAGATAACTCGTTTATAAGTAGACTATAAATGAAAGAGGCAAAATTATCGCTTCATTGTCGCGAATTTCTTAATGCTCTTGGAGTAGAAAAATGCAAATGAAGATTAAATACCACAATTTACAGTCGTCTTGCTTGAAGCTAATAAGATGAAGAGGCAATGGAATTTCCTTAAACTCCGATCTTCCGTTTTTATTTTACCATAAAAGAATAATCGACTACGAAATTCTCTTTGCATTAATTCCGAAGAAGGTTATGAGAAATCAACATATTAATGAGATTGGACATGACGCAGTTGCTCAAAAAATTTGTAAATGACTGATATATTGTGTCATCGGGCCAAGTCTGTTTCTATTAATGACGAACAATGACTTCATTTCAAGCCTTACAAATACGATAAAATTAAGAAGAACCGAAGCATTACAAAGTTTCATCTACTTCAATCTCTACGATCAACAGAGAAAATATATGATATCAATTAAATCCAACAAATTAAAAATGACAATATACGTTTTCATATATTTTTCTCCACTCTAAATGACAATTATTTCACACGACAATCCGTTATTTGCATCTCTATTTGCATACTAAAGAAAATCAATGACGAGATTTATTTTATGTCGCGGCCAACATCTAATATTCGTTAAATTATAAGTAATAAGATACGAAATGTAAAGTAAAATTTTTAGTAAAGAATTCTTAAAATAGACAGACGAGAAAGTAGAATTCAGAACAGACCAATCGATCAATTTTCACGAATAATTTCAGACTCCTTTATTCTTTTATGGAAAATTATCCTTGTTCCTAAAGAAAGCTCCAAAAATTTAAAGCTTAAAAGACGCTTAAGAGACGAGATTATTTATTAAAAATATCATCACTAGTTCCACATGTCATAAAAATAAAATTTTTAGGCTCGTTGTTCTCAAAAGCAAGCTCTGGATGGGCTCTTTTTCGACTGTCACATTCGAAAATTATTTTATCAAATTTTATTAAAAGAAGATGAGTTTAGAGATCCTTTTCTCGAAATTATTTTCACTCGATTATAGTAGACAACGCACTCACTTAATTATAAGACAAATTGCGGACTCGAATCAATTGAGGATCTCGACGATGAATGCGTCGAAATTCATGCTCGAAAAACGATGCTTTAAATTTGTTATGTGATTCGAAAGATTACAAGATTACGCCAATAAAATAATCAGAATTTGTAGGATAATCGCGCTCACAGAAATAAAAAATAAATATTAGATAACGCTGTAACGCTGTAACGTAAATTGCTGAAAATACTGTCTCGTTTATCTGTCAATTATCGTCCGTATATTACTTTATTAGAACTGTTAGAAATAAATTAGAAGCATTTCAAGGAAGAGGAAACGATATAAAAGGTATCAGACTATCGCACATTTTTTCCATCGCGAGTCCAAAGAGTCCAAAGAGCTCAAAGAGCGAACAACATTCTTGAAGAAAAAACAAGAATAAAGTCCAAATGTAAAGAGAATAATACATTAATAATCCTCAGGAAAATATTTTGAATCAGTATACAGACTATACCACTTCTACTTGCATTTCTAGGACGATACTTTCGAATTGCAACTTGTACTACTTTCTCTAGATAGTTGAAAATGTTTGCCAAAAGTGCGGTCATTGATACGTACGGTAAAGCATGCATCACGACACGTCCATTCACTAATCACACCATTATACACCATCATGGATAAGATTTTCTCTCTCTCTTGCTTTCTTTACGCGATCTCTCTACATTAATGCCGAGAATCTTCATCGTTTTTATCGCGGCAGAAATAGCACGTGCTACTCACATCTATGCTAATGTAGGCAAGAGCTCGCTAATAACCTCATATTCGATTGATCTTCCCGTTACTCGTGACGACATAGATACAGGTATGTATCAGAACATCTCCATAAAAAACGTAATAAATACAGATTACGCGTGTTATGCAAAGATTTACAATTCCTTCGATTGATAAGTGATGTCATACAAAGAGATACTTTATAC